TGTTTTGTGACCAATCTTCCATTTTCCCCGTTCCCTCCCTTCCCTCGATTTTTCATTTCCTGTCTCTTCCACCCCTCTGCACCGAAATTTCGTTTTCCAAACTGTTGAACCGATTCACGAATCAAACATCACAAAGTGACTCGGTTCTAGGAGGATTGTTTCCTGTCGGAAATATCGGAAGCAAAGTTCAAAAAGCGTGATTCGAACATTCTTGATACGCTTAATTTCTTTGCATTGAAAAATTTTCTCCTATTTTTTTTTTTTTTTCCCTTCAACGAAACACCAGAATTTTCAATGTATTTTCATTTTCGTCGATACTGTAGAATCGAAGCAGGTACGAAGAAACTGTTTACTTTTTTCGCGATGAAAAATATAAATGGCTGGATGGGGATTTGAACATGAGCTTGTTTCGATGGTAATCAGAGAACCCAACTTATTGCCACAGATTTCCACTCGTTCTTTCTCTTTATGCGGGTTTACGTGGAACTTATGACGATCGTAAAAAAGTTAAATAAGTTTAAATTTCCTTTAAAATAGGATATTGTTATGAGTATTGTATTTTCCATTATTTTTTTATATAATAATTATATTTAAAATTCACTTTTAATCGTGCAGCAACGTATATGAATGAAGAATAAAGAAAAAAGAAAAAAGTTGAATATATTAAAAGAGGAAGAAATAAATATTATTATTATTATTATTATTATAAAAATGTGTAAAAACAATTTAAATAATTATTTTCATCTTGTTTGCATATATTAAATTTTTCTTTTTTACTTTTTTAATAACTAATATTTATTAACAGAACAAGAATAACAACATACACGTTTGATGAGGACGAAGTTGAACTCGCGCACTTCGCAATTTTCGTCACTGTCGTATCTGAGATAGGACGACCTGGAATTTTTCCATTATCTGATTGAAAGACTCCTCCATGCTGGGCACGATTTGTTTGATGCACCACTTCGCGGTCGTCGGGCAAATTAGAATTATGGCGATGATGCTGATCGTCACGGGTGCGAGTAACGTCCACACCACCTGCAATCACCTTTCTTCGTTACCATTTCAACTCGAGAAATAGAGAATCGTATCCTCGAAAGAGAGACAGATGAAGATTTTCCTCGAAGCCAAACTTTTTTTAACTTGGTGCAAAGGAAGGAAAGGAAAAAAAAATTGATCTCCTTCGAAATTTAGAATTTTTGTTTTTTGAGGTTCACAATTGAGCAAGGAAAAATGATAATTCCTTTTTTTTTTTTTTTTTTAGAGAAATATATGCGAGTGTATGTCGCGTCACTTTTTCCACGAATAAAACAGGTTAATTAACGATGTTAATTGGCCGAGAATTTTTAATTAACCGTGTAATTGGATCCAATGATGAAAGGAAGACAAATGTTTCTTTTTTTTGATAAAAAACAAAGGTGGACGAAATAATTGAAATGATAAAAAGAAAAAAGTGTATCGACGATACATGGCTTACGTATGAGATCCAGGACACTATCAGCCATCCGAGGAGAACCGTGCCGGCTGTGTTCAAATATGGCGCGTACTGGGGTCGTAGAATGTACTTCAAATAAGGGAATTTCGCGCTCAAATCTGTCAGAATGACTTCGAGCTGGGCGAGAAATCATGGACGATAATGGATTTTAATAAAGATTTCAATTTCTTCTTCTCTTTTTCTTTTTCTTTTCTTTCCCCCTGCTCGTCTCTGTTGTTGTTTCTTTTAACGATTTTAATTTAGGTTATGTATACCTCCTTGTTATTAAAGGAGGATGATTTATTGGAACGTGTTAATTTGTGGTTTCCATCGAGGCGAATGGATTTGATCAAGTTTAAAAAAAAAGAAATGTACAAATAATACTTGTCCGTTATACGAGAAAGAATATCTGCTTAATAAATAAATTTTTATGTTTCGTTTCGCGAAATTGAAGTTGAAAAGATGATTTATTTTTTGGGAGGAGCGAGGGGGGATATAGGCGATAGAGGATTTGAAATAATTTGAAATAAAATAAGATATTTTAAAAAGAGAAAAAAGCGTTTTTGAAAAAAGACTCGGAAACTCAATCGTTACTTACATCCATTCTTTTGGCCTTGTTTGAAAATTTATTCTAACCATTGAATAATAAATTTTTTTCTTCACATATTGGTTGCGATTCGTTAACGATCACGCTAAATTCTAATCTAACCTAACGATCTATCACAAGCGTTATATTTCACGTTGGACGATCGATCTGATGATCGTCTCCCTTTCGATACAAAAAAAAAGAAAAAAAGTTCACAGACCCGAAATCTTTCGATTTCGATTATTCGCAGCAATAATGCAATCTTTGCATAAAATTTATCAAAGACAAAAGATTCGTCCCACTTTATTATTATCGTTATTTTAATGTTTAATCATCATTTACATTAATTAATTTTTTCCTCGAATTAAAAATCCCTATTCGTGTTGTTATTCGAGCGAGAAATATCTTTTGAAAAAGAAAAATATGTTCTTCTCATACGTAGAATTGCAAGGATATTTTCACAAATACTTCGTGCAATTTTGCAAGTACGTATTTTCCTTCTCTTCCAAAACGTTACTCATTCACCGTACCAGTGAATGTGTAGTTTATCTCTGGTTTTTCAAAGAGGAGATTTAAACGAGAGGTGTTCTTTTTTCGGAGGGGGGGGGGGAGAAAGAAAATAGCGCGAACATTTCCATGCGCGTAGAAAATATTTTTATCGTAACCATCCTCTGTCATTTTCTCCCTTTGCCCTCTTTATCTTTCCTTCTTCTTTGTCAATCTTTATATCAGCTTATCCCTCGATTAAATTGTGCCTCGAGCAGAGAAATTCTTCTCGTTAATGGACAAGGCGAAGCAAGGGGTTAAAAAATCGTATCGAATCGTAATTGAATAATGTTTCAATATAATATTTCAAGTTAAAAAAAAGTAATACGAATTGATCAATATATTGGATATAACGGGATTGTCCATCTTTCTTTTTTGAAAATATATCCTCACAAATATGTGGATTAAAATTAATAATAAAAATTAATAAGGATTAAAATTAGAGGGTTGAATAAATAAAAAGCTGACAGAGCCGAAATCCACGTTTAAATGAAATGAATGTTATAAACGTGTATAAATAAACGAAGCAGGCTATTATTAATTGAAATTCAAGAATTTACAGAAATTTCTCTCTGAGAAATATTTAAACGAAAATTATATATACAACTTCGTTCCGATTGATCGAGGATTATGACAAAATTATGAAAAGAGAAAATCTGATGTTTGACATTAGAAGATGATCATTGATCGAAAATTGAATTATTCACCGATATGGAAACGATGTAATCCATGCGCCGATCATGTTATCAGGAAATCAGAATTTGCTCTAAAATCTGGAGCATTGAAATTAACAAAATTAGGGCGAACGTTTCGATGTCGAGAAAAAAAGATGAATCAATTTTTCTTCAATCTCTCCCTTAGATATTATAGAGATATCTCTTTGGCCAATCTGTGAAAGACGTTTTTAACATTCGAAATTAACAATTTTTTTCAATTAACGCCTCCATAAAGTATGTTTTACACGCAACAATGAACGAATGAACGAATGAAGTCGTTGGTGAGAGAAGAAATCGAAGAAATGATCTCGAGGAACCATATCAGGGTGTAACAATTTTTAATCAACTGCCGCGTGATAAGTTGACGTGTTTTTAATTAAAAATCCGGGAGAGGAATTAATTATCGATGAGGTTTCGAAGCGAGATTTTTAACTTATTTCTTTTTTTTCCTTTTCTTTTCGATCGAGAAGAAAGATTTACAAAGTCAGGCATCCTGTGGGGATGAAAACGAGGCTCCTCCTCCTCTTGTTGGTGTTCGATTTCCTAAGGAGGGGGAGAGGGGGGGGGGAGACAGAATTTATCAGAATTTATCGCGGTGCGTTAACGATTGATCGAGCCCATTGAAAATTTGATTCAGAAACGGGTGAAAATTCGACGCTGATTAAAATTTAATCTTGCAAATTGACAAAGCTCGAAGCATTGACGAGCGCGCGTAATTCGAAAGCGATTATTGTGGATCATCGTAATTGTATAATTCTGAATTATACAAATTTTTAATCGAGAGATTCGATGGAAATGTGAACCGAGATAAAGTTTGGTGGAAAAAGAAGAGAGCGTCGATAATTATGTATCACGTATTTTTGTTTCTTTTTGATTTGATAATTGCTCTTTGAAAATGTTCCTCATTGAGGCATGCCATTTATTGCGAATTTGACAAATAGATAAATTGACGATTCCAATAATTCTAAAGCGTATTCTAATTCTGATTCCCGTTTTCGTTTCAACTTTCAAATTGGAGATTGGAATTGTCTGAAATATCATAGAAAAAAAAAAAATAATAAAAATTCTGAAAATTGAAAAGTGATAAAAATTTCAAACGTCCATGCATTTTTAAAAAAAGTATTTTTTAAAACCGCAGTGCACAATTCATTAAAAACTGTTGCTCGGTTAAATCTTAGAGTATCCACTTTAAAGGTGTGGTGTGGTGCAATTTACATCGTCGTTTCTCGTTTTTTTGTTTACAATTTAACAGTGTGAAATAATGATAAATTTTCGTAACAATTAATAATGTGCGTTATTCAAGTACGAATCTCATAAAGCACGTAATTTACTCCAATAAATCCTTGCGTGCCACCGCCCATTGATCAACTTCATGTATTGCATCGTGCAATTTCCTTTCTTTTTTTTTTCTCTTGTTAAATTTTCCTCGACATATCGCACCATCTAGCAAATTCATCTAATTCAAATTCTCATAACGAATAAATACGAATAAAAAAAAAAGAAGAAAAGGAAAATTAAAAGTCAAAAATTAATAACATTCGCATCGAATTAAAAACCAAATATCGGTTTGGATATTTTATTTCGAAAAATATACTGACAATTTTTGAAACAGCTAAGTAATCTACACAGTTGGAGAATTTTTTCCCTTTGTTTCTTGTTCGTTCGAAATTCTTTGTGCTCAATCGTCAGATGTTTTGCTCGGTATCATCTCATCATCCTTCTCCTCCTCCTCCTCCTCCCTCTCATCCTCTTCCACTTCCTTTTCCTCCTCCTCGAGCCCTTCCTCCTCAATTTTCTCCTTAATTTCGCTCATCTCTTCCTCGATATCCTCCAACTTCGTCTCAACCCCTTTCTCGCTCACATTTTTTTCAGACACCAGTTCCTTAACATCATCGTCGGGGGGGCCAGCCATGATCCTCTCCGTGAACAGGATATCCTCTTTCCGCGGGAACGTTTCCTCCACCATGCCCAACACGTTTCTCTGATACGGGACGAACGGTTGTTCCATCCTTATCTCGACCACCGCCAATCGAGGGGGGAATATTGTAATAGCGCGTAACCTCCGCAACGAGTTGGACATCAACCTTTTACTTTGAGTTGTACCATACTGCGGACAGCCAGGTATTTAAAATTAACTGGACACGGGCTTTCTAGCCCTGCCTCTTATTTCTCGTGTGTTTGCATCTTATTGGTTTATTTGTCTCGCTGCGAATGTTTATTCAAATTTCAATTGCGTTGAAATTTATATAAATATTCGCTACTCGGTCTGGTTATTATCATCGCTAACTGATCTAACAAGTAAATCGATTTTGAAGATACTTGGAAGAAAAAAAAAGGAATAGAAGAGATATTCCTTTGAAGAAGAATCAAAGAGAGAAACAGGAGACAAAAATTCTTTTTACGTTTCGAAACGAATGGAGAATTTTTTTTAAAAAGAATTTTCTTTTTAAAGAAAATGAAACGAGAAGGGGGAAAAAATGATGAGTTCTGTTGAGCACGATATATTTATTATTCTCGAAGATTAAGAAGAAAATAAATGAAATGGAATAAAATAAAAATGAAAAGAGAGGGAAAACAAGAGAGACGGATAGGAAATAGAAGAGTTCGTCACTTCTTATCTCATTTGCATAAAGTCCATCCTCGTATTGGACGAGCTTACAAAAAATGCGATCCGTGGGCATAAGAAATTATTAATGAAATTTTTCGTGGGTGGAGATGGGTGATCTAATTTTCTCGAATAATTCGCGGGCCACGATGGATCACGGAATCATGTAATAACCTAATATTTTAGCTGTTAGTTCCCCGCAGACAGATTCCCCATTTTCTTCAAAATACACGTCGACCAACTCGTCGGCGAATATTCGACGCGACAAACTAATTAATTCGAACGATGCTCTTATTTTATTTTAACGCGATCCGCTCACGTTTCTCCTCGAGAAATGAACTAAAATCTATCAAACGGCTATTTCACTTAGAAGGTGAGATCATCTATGTTAAAATTTACACCGATTAAATTGAATCGATAAAATATATTTCGAGAGGAACGAGAAATTAAGTGAAAATTGTTATTACATTATAATTGAAATTGGAAAGAAAGAAGAGAAAGGAAAAATAAGATTATTAATTTTGTGATTGTAACAGTACGATTAATGTAAAGAAGTATATTTGTTCCATGTTAATTGAGTTAAATAAAATAAATTAATAAAGTTCGACAAAAATGTAATTGTTCAAAGGATATCTTTCACGAAGGAATGCCACTCATTTTAACTAGAAAATAATTTTAACACCGCTTTATCTGCACTCCTTCCTCCTGTGCATTGATTGCATTTTTCTATTTTCTTTATTTTCCTCTATCAATTATTTATAGTAATATGCACAAGAGAATCAGTAAACAGAAATGATCATGAAAAAATAAACGTATAAAATATACTACTCCTACTGTTACTTAACAATCAAGTACAAAGTTGCTAGTCTAAAATTAAAAATATCACGATCCTACGATTAATTTTCATGGAAGATGAATACATACACGTCCGCATCATTGCCAGAATAAACAGAAACACATCACGTGATGCAACGCCTGGCTTTGATCACGTGATATATATCTACCCAATTTTCACAAGAGGAGAATACGTGACGTCACATCATTTCCACATTATCACTACATTAGGCGTATAGATACGTATCACGAGTCATGATACGGCGCTTTACCTCTGTCCAATTTTCACAAGAGAATAACAGATGGACGTCACATTATCCTCACTTCCATTGCTGCATTAGGCGAAGACAGGTCACGTGATACGATACGGCGCTTGGTTTTGGCGGAAGCTCGATCACGTGACGTGGCTCTGTGCAACGTGTAATAGGGACGTACTCTTCTCATGGAAATTCGTTGCAGGAGAATCGAATCACTTTCAATTTTAATGGAAATATATCACGCTCGTCCGACCGCATCGCCAATTTGTTAATATCTCTGATCTACACGAAACAAATATTAACACATATATATATATATGCATAAATATTTTATTTCCCTCGTGATGGACATTGTTAATGAATTTTCATGAAATTTTACGCGTTCGAGACAAAGATAGTTACACTTTTATTTTCCTTGTGTATATGTATATGATATGTTTCTCCCTTTTTCTCTTCATTTCTCTTCACGCGAGAAAATGAATTTATTCTCGAAAAAAAATCTGACGTTTTTAAAGTAATTTTATTTTAATACTCACAACGATTAATTTACCAGACTGGCGGAGCATAAAAATGGTGACAGGATGAATCAGGTTGATGGTCAACTCCATCAAACGCAACACGGCAGCGAAAGAGGCCAGAATTCCAGTTATCGCCACTAATATCACGAATTCGATCACACTCGTTAACGCCTAAATCGAAGATTATTTAAAGGGATGGAGAAGAGAGAATCTTTGGAGAAGAAAATCCCGGAAATTTTACGTTTTACGTGTCTTTCAATCACGTTTAACGTTTCCGGGATTATTCTTAGACAGTGCATTTATCCACGACGAAATTGATATTGATACGACCAAGGAGACAGTAGATTCATGGCCATACGTTAAGAAATCATTACAATTCATAAAATCGACCATTAAATGAAGAATCATGGTTTCCTTCATGTAGATGATCTTACATAAGATTGGATCAATTTATAATAAATCTTCTAGATGATATTATGTCTTCAATTTTTATTGGAACATTTTTAAATTTTTATTATTTTACTTTAGAAATTATTCATTAGACTTTTTTAATTGTTGAAAAAATTTAGTTAACATGATTTATTTGAAAAATTTGTTTTCAATTTAAAATTTACTTGAAAAAAAGATTCTATAAAATTTACACAAATTTCTTTTAATCATCTTCAAATAAGAATCGTTAATGGTAACTAATTGATCAACACTTTTGAATTAATTAATATTCTCACAGAAACTTTTTTTAATTTCAAACTAACTTATTATTGTTGAAGATCACCTTCTTCTGGATCTCTTATACAAAGATCTAATCCTATAAAATCACTGTATCTCTCGAATCCACCATCAAAACTTGCATCGTGAAAAGTTTCAAAGACACTGCAGGTCGATAAAAACATATACACCTGGTACACTATATTCGAAGTTCGCTCGAATCTACATAACCTCTAAAAACTTGTCTCCTTGGTCGTGCATATTCCAACTCGTCCAACAAAATAAACGCGAGTAACTGTCTATATTACGTAATAAGATGAAAAAAAAAAAGAAAAAAAACAGAAAGAGAAGAATCATCTCACGCAAAAAATCGACATTTCTGTTCTTCACACGTGTGTGGCCGAGAACTCGAGAAACTGTTCTTATCGCTGGTTCTTGTTGATTTCATGGATAGAACATCAATATCCTGTTCATCCGCTTCGGATCATGATGAAGCTACATCTTCATCGTCGCTTTCTGCTCCCGCCGGGATGTTAAAGGAGAGGCAAAGAGGAGACCAAGGTTGGAACGGACTGTTTCGGAACACTGAGAAAGAACAGAGTGAAATTCGAGATTAGAGAGATTTCACAGTGCCGCCATCTAGGTTGTATTACGCAATTACTTGGGAGAATAATATAGTATAATAATGTAGAAGGTTTAAACAGGATGTTAATATTATGCATGATATGGAATATGGTTTGGAGAATCGATTCTGAAATATAAGACGAACGTAAAAGTTTCGATGTACAAAAATATTGATCGAGGATTGTTTGTTTAGTTATTTCTAATTGAAGTTTGCATTGGATGAAGGGAGACGAAGATAGAGAGCGAAACGGTATCGTTTCGTTTAATGCAAACTTCAATTGCTTATTAATTAAAATAAATATCCGAATCGAAATTTTTGTTTACCAACTTTTATTTTGAAGACTAAAATACTCGATCAAAGAGTAGATCGAATATGAAAACATATCGTGAATATGTAAATATATTTTGTAGATATATAGAATTAATTTATTTGATTTATGTATTTAATTTCCACGAATGTAATAATTGAGAAGCAAGATATTAAGTTTAAATTTTGCGTTTTAATACGTGACATATAAAAAAAGATTTTTCCTTGGAAAAGTATTGATAAAATTCAACACAAATTTTATTCAAAAATCATGTTATTATAATTTCATTATAATTATTTTGAATTAATTTTGAATGTAATTACAAAATTATTAAATAAATTAATTCATTATAAATTATTCATTCATATATAATTATCATGCAATATATACATCCAGTAGATATTTTGAGTGCATCGGTGCTCCCGCAATTTCCCGTTATTCCTTAAGTTAATGATTAAATACAAACTTGCGGTTTCGCTTCGGATATTGATCATTTCCTCACAACTCGATGGATCGTCAAATAGTTTTTGAATTCTATGAGAAGAGAACTAATTTAAAGAGTTTACTTTACACCGAATAATTTTCATTATTATCAAATAAAAAGTAAAGTATTAAATTTTAATAATTTATATAAATATTTTATATAACGCAAACAAAACGATATTAAAAATAATTATTGAAATCCAAATTTTATTAGAATTTTACATACAATGTCTCTTTAAATATAATCTCAATTTCACTTTCAAAATATCATATAAATAATTGTAAGTAATCAAATTTCAATAATTCATATTTTATCTTTAAAGCAACGTTAGATTTAAATCTTAAGACTTGTTAAAAATGATCATTGAATTTGTTAAAATTTCACAGCCAACATATGATACGCATAAAATATATTACGGAAATCGATTGATCAAATTTTGAATAATTTTTATACATCATCACGCGATTTAAATTCCAGCTTAAAACAATTAATTATAAATAATTGTCTAGTAAAATTGTATAAAATTTCAATCTTTTCCCAAACATATCAAACTATCTAAATATATAATTTCAATTTCAAAAGTTTGTTCACGAAACGGCGTGGCGTTTATCCGACCGAGAAGAGAATACACAACGCATACGCTCGAAAACAGGAGTCTATCTAACCTCGCCAACAGGACAAAAGATTGCGTCCATCTATGGCGCGTTAATCGGATACGTTCGCGTCGCTCGCAGAAAATAATAAACACGGCATCACGTAACCTTCGGTATGAACCTTTAAAATTCCACGGTTAATTATTGAATGTCGTGAACAAGTCGTCCTCCAGAAATCTGGGCGCGTTTCTCAGCCCATGAAACGAATTATGGGCATGCAAAATTCGAAGAGGTTAGTGCGAATTGACGTTTCATTATTTATTCATCGTACTTACGAAATCAGATTTCGAAAGAAATTTTACTCTATGCCCGTTTATTTCTCATCGGTGATCGTAACGCTTTGAAATTAATTCTCGTTTAGCTGAATGTAAATAGATAAATCAATTTTACGATATATAAAAAGGAAGATGAAAATTTATAGTTGTATATTTATATAATATATAATGTAAAATGTATATTGTTAGTATTTATAGTAGATAAACGTTGTTTAATAACGTATGCATATAACGAAAACGAATTGAACTCGATATCAATGCTAAATATGGGATCGATTGTCCATTATCCAATCAAACTCGTATTAGAAAAATACTGCAGATAACGCAAATTAGAATATTAGCTATTAGTTGTACAATATTTCATCATGTATAATTATAAAGGGTAATCAATTCTCGTTCTCGTGTAATATCGACAACTTGAATATTCGTGCAAAATGAATCTTTTATTGGGGAGGGCTTTAACACGTTTCTTTGAAAGGGAGCATGGTCCATTTCGTTGGACGTAACGTGATAAATCGTCGGTGATAGTCGATTTTTCAAGGTGTAAGTGATTTCAAATAATTCGTCCAGTTTGGTAAATGGATCCTTTCTCCGCAAGGCTGTCAACCCTGGAGAATTTTAATTATGACGATCCCTGTTTGGGAAGAATCGTGCAACGATGCAGAGAACGCTGGATATATTTTGGTCAAAATTTTGTAATTGGATTAGATCGATGCAATGGAAAACAATTTAATGACATTACTCGTCATTAAATTTCCACATACGTGTGATCGCAATTAATTATTAAAGTTCGTCTCCATCGATTAGACGCTTGATTATCGTAACGAATCGATTAATTCAATCATTTTCCGATTTATATTTTTTAACAACAATATATCGATATATAATCCGATCAATTTGGATCAGGTTGGTAATTTTCGTAGAGAAGAATCGAAAAACTCTATATATATATTTTCATCGAATTTTATTCATATTTTTCACACGTTTATATATTTTCGATTATTACATCTTATTACAACTAACTCCATCCTCTGACATCCTCTCTCTCCAGATTCTTCTTCAGAGCTATAAAACGAGCAAAAAAAAATCCTTTGATTAATTATCCTTTCTCCTCGATCAACAAAAACAGATGGACAACAAGCTATATCTATATATAACCTCAACTTACACGCTCGAGGCCACGGTAATGATGATGCGAAGGTGTGATCATGTGCCGGCCCATGGATCGTTCCTTCATGCCCATCACGCGCACGGCGGACGGCTCCACCATTACCGCTGAGCCCAGGCTGGGCACGCCTTGTTGCTTGCAGCTGCACTGCATGACGGACTGTTGGCAGTGATGGCAGTGCGGCACCTTGACGAAGGTGGCCACCGGTTCAGGCTCGGCCACCATCATGACAGGCTTCTGGGGGACAACGACCATGTGCTCCTCGTAAACGGGCATCACGGGCACCATCTCCTTCTCAACCTTGGTCACGATCATCTTTTCGGGCTTGGGTTCAGGCTTCACGATCTTCTCCTTCTGGATCACGGTCTCGACCATTGGTTTCACGGTTTTCTCCTCCTTAGCTGGTTGGATGATGTTCACGTTGGTCTGGGCAGGTGGGCAAGGTGGCTGGGGCGGTTGGACCACCTTCAAAGAGGCCTGGGCAGGCTGGATCGGCGGCTGGATCACGCTCAGAGTCTGGATTGGCGAGGGGACAGGCTGGATGTTGAGGGTCTGGACGGGTTGTGGAACGGCTTGGATGTTCAACGTTTGGACACGTTGCGGTACGGGTTGGATGTTGAAGGTTTGCACGGGCGGTTGGGCGGCCGCCTGGATGCTGTAGGTTTGCGGCTGAGGAAGCAGGCTTGCCGAGTCCAGACAGACTATCGACTTCTTCGACCTGTCCTGATCCTCCCCGGCGGCCTCCTCGATCTTCAGATCCTCCTTCTCCAACGACTTTTCTATCTTCGCCGTGGGGACAGCCTGGGACAGGGCCAGACCCAGCAGCAGAAGGGCGAAACTGATGTTGAGACTCATCTCTCGCTTTGTTTCTTCGATTTGTTGTTGGATTTGTCGGTGCTCGACGTTCAACTGTGACGACTCGAGGCGATCGGCCGGTTTTTAAAGGAAACCGCGAGACTATGAGGCGCTGGCTCGATTTCGAAATACGCAATGCATACGCAACGGAGCTGATTATGCGGAATTCCGAGGGTGTTGAGACACTTGTTGACAGTGGCCGTTGATTCACGCGCGGTGCGTGAAACGATAGGTGCATTATTGTGCGATGATACAATATGGACGATTCCTGTGCTTGTTGCGAGTTGTCGATAATCGTGCGATTCGATGGAATTAAATGGACACTTTTCACGTGCGATGATGAATAATTCCTCGACGTGGGTTAGATTCATATGAATATCCTCTTGGAGGATTTTTCTTTTTTTTTTTCTTAAAAATGTATTTCCAAGTTTTGTTCATTGATCAAGATTGAATAATATTTCTAATCATACGATTCTACATTTTTTGAAATATGATATTGATTATATTTTAAATCTGATTACTGCAGAATTGAATCTACGTTGTGTTCATTAATCAAGTAAATAATATTTTTAATCATACGATTCTACATTTTTCAGCTTTGAAATATGATATTGATTATGTTTTAAATCTGATTACTGGAGAATTGAATCATGAATTTTAAGAAGAAGTATATTTTTGAAAAATATCTCCAAGGTTCTGTATTTATGATGTTTTCAATTTTAAAATATTGACATTTTCACTTTAAATCTGATTATTGGAGAATTGAACGAGAAGAATGAATTTTAATCGAATGTTTTTAATTATTCCAATTATAATTTTTTAATTTTATTACAATTTTATGCAAGAACAAGTAACAAACGTATTAATTATGTGGCAAGAAATTTAATTTCGTTATTATTGATATTATTGCATAATTTTTTCCAAAATATTTGAACAACGCTCCTTGCGTAAACATTGAACAATAATATTATTCCGCTGATATTCGTTTCGCGATTACCAAATCGTATTGGGATACGTTACCAACAGCACGCATTTGCGTTTGTAATTCACAAATTACCGTGATGTTTTTCTCCATCTTTCATTATTCTTCTAGTTTCAGAATTTTTATCAAATTACAATTATTTTCAACGATGTAGTTTTTATAAAAATTATATAATCATTTTTTTTACATCCGAGATTTTTCAAAATGCAGGAGAAATTCATTTTATATCAATGCGTATACATATATATATATATAACTAATTTTATCAGTTTACTTTCACAGCGCACAGTTTCCTTAACGTAAAACGAAACTCATGCCTCGGCCATTTCCTTTCAACTTTAGAAGTTGAAAGAAGTCTGGAAGGTAGCAAAGGTTGGGCTGCTTTATAATTCTTCTCACGATTCTTTTTCTTTTCTCCCGTGATCGAAATTTTTCTTTTTCGCGTTTAAAGAGCGCTTTTAATCTCGACACAATGCTTTCGTTATTTCTTTTTCCCCCCCAAGAATCGTCGCAATTCCCTCTTTCTCTTCTTTGATCAGAGCACACCTCTGTAGAATAATTTCACTAGAAGTTATTACCTCCAACTTGTAATCGGATCATACGAATCATCGAGTGTAAAAAAATTTTACACTCATTTTTCACATCCTCATTTTTATTCCCACTACATATATATATATATGTATATTTTCTTTTTTTATTTTTGCAATCATTATTATTTTCTTGCTTTTGAAATTTATCTTTGAATATATCTTGAGATTAATTTCCATCACGTACACCCCATTTTGTGCAACATTACTATTTCGATGCAATTGCTATAACGCATTGAATGTAATTATACATGTTAATCTAATTTGAAAGATAATGTTATATATGTATATCTGGAGAATTCATAATTTCATATTAATATTATAATATAATTAAATAAATATCTGTGTGTTATATATCATTGAATAAATTTCATTTTATCATCTCTACTTTAATTCGATCGTATCAACGATCACGCATTTTCGTGATTTCGAAATATTTAAATATCGCATCGATAAACACATTGCTTGATATATATGTATAAATACACATACATAAAATCATTTTCACGAGTCATTTTCGATGAAATTTTATATAAAAAAAAAGGTATAAAAAAATTTTATTATTTTTACAAAACACAGTTTTATTCTTTCCATCATATTGATTTCCATCCGATCTTTTTATATCTCTCGGATTAAAAAAGAAAAAAAGAACGAAACAATGTTAGTTAGTTTTTTCTAGGAAAATTTATTTCTTAAAACAATTTATAAAACATTCACAGATTATTAGACAAGTTCGTTCAGAATTCATAGTTTATGGCAAGTGCTTATGCATTTAACACATCTACCAATCTCTCGACGATCTAATTCCCTAGATCGCTCTAGAATCGTCAGTTCTAAACCCATCAAAGAACAATCATAATCCTGTTGTGGTCTCTTCAGACGCACGAGCAGAATCGGTGATCTTCTCCAGTTCCAATCCAGTCTGCGAGGAAGTTTCACCCTGGGACCCGCTCCTCGAGAACACAGATTTGTCCCCAGAATTACCACCCCTTCTCGAAACATCTCCGTCCCTGTTAATCTCTTTTTGTTGCATCACCTCGCGAGACTCGAATTCTTTATCATTTTGATAATCGTCATCCGTCCCTCTTCCCATTTGATCGTCATTTTCATCGATCTCGTAATTCCTTGCATCCTGTTCTTTCTGCTTCTCTGACTGCTTCTGCCATCTGCTGTGAAAAATAGTAAATCAATTTCTATATAGATAGAGTTCAGAAACTAGAAACACATTCTGGAACAGTTAAGTTTTTATTTTGATAAATTTCAATCGAGTCATTATTTGGCAAACTTGAAAGATTAAATAATAAGAAGATTTTTAACGCGTGAGCCACTTTTGAGAGAATGTGACGTTTTTCATTTAAGGAAGGAAAAATAAAGTATAGTTTAATTCTACATTGAGTAAAAGCAAAGATCAAAGAGATCAGATTGAACATATAGATTGAGACTTATTTAGTTAACTTATAAACAATTTATATTAGAAGACAAAGTGAATGAGAGCGAGACAGACCTCGTCGAACTTCTGTATGTATTCCCTTTTTTGATCTAAGAATTAAGATACAATCTGTAGAATCAGACGAATCACAAAATATATCTCTAAAATATTAAATGTCCTCATTGCATTGGAAGAGAACGTAATATAACCTATCTCGTTCCTACCTGCTACTATTAACAACCTCCATACCACCTCTTCCAACACTGTGCACCATTCTCAGCGCATTGAGATCCGTTGGCAGGTTATGCGAATTGTATTTAACTCTTGGCGAGGAGGAGTGGGTCATCCTAGAATTTCCATACTGATTCCTTCCAGATTGAACGATATACCGTTCCAATCCTTGACTTCTCCCCTTCACTTGATCTCTGCCATACGAGACTCCACTGTTCCATCCTCTTATATTATTATATTGGCCAGGGATCTCGCTCATAGGATTACTCTGGATGAACGTGTCGTCGAAATATTTGTCATCCCTGTGCATCATTCTCCCTTCGTAAGGTCTCTCTTTGAAGTTGTTCGAAGAGCTCTGATAATTTGGTTCGTCGTTGAACGAGCCGTAGTCCGGATACAGTCTGTTGGATTGGCCTCTGACCACGTCCACGTAGAAATTAGGCCTGCCTGCTTGGCTTCTGGAGAATCTGGGCTCCGAGGATCCGGGCAAGGCTCGATACCAGTTCGAGGTGTCCGTGTAGCTGTTCATACCGCGGATAGAGGCGGTTTGCGGAGGAGCCAGGTCAAAATCGAGATCCGTCCCGATGGTGAAGGGATTCTCGCGTTTGCGGTGGCTGCTGATCGTGCGAAAGGTGAGCTCCATCTGCCTCTAACGCCTCCCTCGTATGGATTGGCAGGATAGGAGGATAGGCGGTACGGCTGACCTGTCTGCCAAGGACTGGTTTCTGGCTCCAGTCCACGGTATTCTCTTCTAGTTGGCTCGTCCCTTCGATAGAGAGAAATTAATTTTTACTTTTCGAAAACTATTGGAGCAGAGTTATGAACCAGTGTATATATAGCGGGATATTCATATTGTAAGAGAAATTTTGGAAGAGAATTTCGTTAACCTGGTTTACTAACAAAGTTTCGGGTTCAATTTATCCTCTATAAATATCTGTGGGAAATCTGTGTAGCGAGAAAATGATCGAATGTTTTGTAAAAAGGATTAAGCTGCGATTAAATCGAGTCTCTTACCACGAAACAAGGGTGTCTGGCCGTTCTCGACGACACGAGGGACAGGAAGCATGCCTGTGATCTCTGGTGTGCTGCCCTTCCCACCTCCACGACTGTGGCGATCCTGTGATCGCGGTCACGAGCGAGCAGAGTAGAAAGAATCTTCGAAAGGATGGATCGAACATACTTATCTGATTATGATTAAAAACCGGATCGATCCCACACGCTTTTATAAGCTACAGAATCAACGAGGATACTTCCTCCTTGTTGCGTAAAAATCTCGTATTTCCTTTACGTGGCCGGAAACAAAGATCGTTCCGATGATTCATTGATTGAGGTTAGGTTAACCTTGATCCGGTTTCCCATGGTTATCGGTGCAATAATATAAATATCGAAGAAGCTGAAGAGAAATAAAGATTGCGGTGAAATAAGAACGATAAGAGACAATTAGAGAGGAGAAGAAAAATAAGAAGGCGAAATAACGTTAGGATAAATTGTTTTGAATTAAACAACTATTAATTTTTTTTTTTTAACGTGAACAGAAAGCGAAGGATTTCGATTTTTTTTTTTTTTTTTTGAGTTCGTTCGAAATTAAACATTGCACAAGACCGGAATTTAAATAATAAACGTGTCATCAGACTAAATATAATAATAAAACATGATTATTATTATTGTTAAATAAAGTTATCGTGGAATTAACGTGTTTTCATTGTGATAAAAATATATTTAAAAATTTGTATTCAATTTACTTCGTGTTTTCCCTACGATTATTCTAATTGTTTTCCTTTTTTTTTTTTTTTTTTTTTTTTTTTTTATTAAAAGTTAATTACGTTTATAATCCACAAGCTTTTTCTTCTTACTTATATTCTTTCTCGTGCAAAGTCGTTTCCTCGAAGGATATGACGATACTTATAAATTTTAACAAGAATTTAATTAAATATTGAATACAAATAATCTCGTTTAACTTGTTTGATATTTTTAACGATAATTTTATTTTAGTAATTCTTCGATTTTTTACTTACAAGTATTAAATCTCGAGATTAAGAAACAATACTGATACAAGTTTGTACAATATAATAATAAGCAGGACTTATTAAAAAGTTCAATTTTAATTCTAGGTTTAATTAAGTTCGAGCTAAGGGAAAATGAATATAAATTAGGTACAATATTTTCGTATTTTTGCTCTCGACATGATGTTTAATTAACACTATAAGCAGTTTAAGACGTGAAATTATAAAGGGAGGTTATTAGCAATAACCTTAATACATTATAAAGATTAAATAAAAGAGCGCAATTTTTAATTTGGCCGGAATTATTGCTTTATTTTCTTTCAAAATTTCGATTAATATTCTATATAAGCAAAGCTAAATTAAAATTCATTATTTATATATACGTATAAATCTTTCGAGAATTCCTTTTCGATTATACCTTTAACGATTTTATATCCAGTTACTTTCTTTAAGTATCGTTCACCATCGTAGATGGCGCTACGAAAGCTCATCCACCGAATATTTCTTCGCAGACAGGATACAGACGATGACATAATATCGAAAAAATCGTTGCAGACGGTGAAGCAGATCATCAACTTTCTGAAAGAACGTAAGAAATACGAGTATATCGCAATATATTTTTTTCATTCGTACATTTACAAATTGACACCGTTAAATAAATTTCTTTCTTTCGCTTTCTTTCCTCCGTTTCGATTAAATTAAAAAAATTCTTGAAAAAAATAATTGTAAGTAATTTTAATTAAAAAATCCGAAAAACTTTTTGTGGTTTCAAGATGCCAGAGAGGAAGGTTTATTCCGACGTGCAGGCCGTCGTGATCTCAGAAGAAGGATCTTAAATTCTTTAAAGAAAGGAGAGAAACCTCATTTAGGGAACAATGACGCGGCTTTGGAATGCGCAGCAGCGTTACAACTTTTCTTATGTCATTTAAAGAAACCCGTCATGCCCCAGCACGTCCAGCAGCTTCTTCTGGGTAACCAAGAATTCTCTTTATTTTCCCTCCTTAAAAAATTCTAAAATAATTCTCAACCCATTATTCTCGTTTAAAGTTTTATAAGAAAATATTTGCATAAACGTGGTTTACTAATGGAATTTTTTTCTTTAAATCTCTTGAAACTTCTTAAAAATTCAATGCTATTTAATACATAGATTGAGAGGCACTGCTCTATCTTTTCTCTTAATCTAATCCTCGTGCGAATAAATTAATTTATCAAGCAAATAGAATTTTTCTTCTAAATTCGTATTCGTATAACCTATTAAAAATTTTGACGCAATTTTACTAATTTCGTAGATTGAGAACCACTGTTACAGATACATACGAATGAATATGTATTCTTTTACGATATTATATCATATATCGTATCACATAGATTTAATAAACTAAATTTTCTCGTTTCTCTTCACTTCCGTTGTATTAATATAGGCCAATTCGACCGTGCGACTAGAACAATTCGAGAATCGTTTGCATTATGAACAATATAATAAATTTTCGCACACGTAGCGTATCCGTGTGCAATTTGGCGAAAGGATAGCATCGTCGATAAAATTAACGAGTTCGCTTAAGTAATAATTCTCCGCGTGTTACCTAACCTCAAAATTGCAAACAGTGTGCACTCGTATTCCTCCCCCCTCTTGACACGTTTCGAATAACGAACTTGACAGATTTCGACACGATATCCTACGCTCAGAAAAAAAAATACGCGGCTCTAATTAAAATCGACGCTTATTATCGGGGAGATAAACGATAAAGATCGACAAACGATCCTTTTTCAGCAATTTATTAAAATTTTCACAACTTGGAAGGTATATTTTATTTTTTTAATTATAGAGCAGAAGTTTTTCTCTCTGTTAAAAAACTGTCAATTAGCTCGTTATATAAAATAATTATACGATGTTTTCTATTAAATTGAGATAAAAATACGTGTGAAAAAGGAGGAAAGCAATATGCTAATTAATAAAATGAATAATATCTCAATTATAACTTTATACAAAAGAAATATCGAATTATTTTTATAAGTAAAAAAAAAAAAAAATTATACGTTGAAGTATTATAGTCGAAAAAGTTACTATATTCAGAATCTTCTCAAATATAATAATTGTATATTAACAATTAATAATTAAATTATAATTAAACCAATATATCTATCTCGAATTTTTTAAATTCGAGATAAAAAGAAAATCGATAAAACTTAATAAACATTTTTACGTGATAACCAGCTGATAATCCTGGAGTGACCGCCCACATGATCGCCAGAGACGCCCTAGGATTGATACGACAGGATGTTGGTGGTCGTCATGGAGAGCTATTGGCTGGTCTTCTTGATTTACTGAGACACTTGACCCTTTCTGGTCCTCCATCCGAGAGATCAGAGCTTCGTGGTTCACCGCTTCCGATTGCACTGCTTCCAGTCTTCTTCACTTTAACGGTAAACTATCCCAGACCCGAACCGAATATGAAATAAAATTGCCACACTAGAGATCAAATTCTCGTTCGTCTCTGCCTCTAAGGATCGTCGAAATAATATAAATTTGGATTCATGGTTAAAATATTATCGTATTCAGTGTATATCAACGTCCAAATTATATTATAATAGACGAAAATATGATATCTACAGGCAACGACAAAAAGACAATACTTTTGTGCCACTTCTTATTAGTCTTATTTTCAGCTATACATTGTGCTAACGACGTAGCTCAACGTAACTTAATTTTAATGATCAAACAGGATTCTACGTTAACATAAGAGGGTAAACATGATTATATTCTCAGTGAAAATGATATATAGTGAGGTTATAAAATCAAAGTTTAGAATTTAAAATATGTAAGTAGAAGTCTTTTCTTTTTTTTTTTCAAAATCATTCGACGCTTTCGAATTAATTTTTCTTTCTTCTCAAATATCTAGATCGATAGTATAACACATTAATATATTTTAATTCACTCGTTACATTACTTTCATCGAGAATTCTATTATTATGCCATGATAAACGTGATAGACATATATAATATAACGTTATATATAATACAACTTCCATCTCAACTTCCATTATATCATGACTAAACTTTAATGTGCCTACATTAGAGCAAACTATTTGTAAGTTAGAAAACTATCATATTCGTTCTGATATAAATACAGCGTTGAGAATTAACAATTCAGATGTACTGACTCTGACTTCGACCATCTTAGCCAAGCAAACATTATCCACAAACGAATTCCTGTAAAGGTGTGAACACATTTAAAAGTATGATTCTTAAGAGTTATTTTTTTGCAAAAAGACTCTACATTAACAGTGAGAATTACTTATCTTAATTTACAAAGAAACCGTTTCAAGAGCAATTCTTTCGAATATTCTTAACTTGTTCATTCTCGTGTACAACGATCGTTTTACGAATTGTGACATAAGAGAAGATGCGCACACAACGTGAAACAGAACCCGATTTTGCCAGCACGTGCCACAGTAATTCACAAAAAAGCCAATAGCTGTAGCGACGTCAAATACATCTGGGATCAAAGGCCTTATATACAGTGCTTACTATAAGGAATATATCGATAACCAATATCACAAACGCTTTGTTGATTGAAAGGAAATCTGGATGTTGGTTTCTATTAACCAATCAACGAGAATTTAAATAGATAATTCATTTTTGAAAATTTTTTCGTGGCAATTTAACCGCTTTATATAAAAGTACAATTGTTTTAACGAAATAAGATATATTGAAATTTGATTGAAAAATTAATTTGTATTATGCCATTGACGAAACTGATAGAAAGTTGTATATTAAATTTCTAACGTTCAGTTTCGTTCGATCGTGAAGAACTTGCTTGTTATTAGAAGCTTTGATACTCGGCTCACGTGCCGCCAGTTTGTTACTTATAATGTAGAGTAAGAGGATGTAGGAATAACAAGCAACCTGATGCTATTGTATTGTATTAAAAAGGAAGGAAACTTCGTTCTTGGAACTGGGGATGTAGTGAAAAAGGCGAGGTGATAGGAGAGCTGAATGAGCATTAGCATACCAATTACTTTAGAACTTTGAAAATGTGCAAAGTTTTTTGAGCCATTCGACCTCTTTATTCACGTAGAAAAAGTTATCATATGCACCTATATACTCGATTCGAAGCTACTCTTCTTGGAAACGAAAAGCTTCATATGACTTCTATAGCTTCATATTTTATTCTGTCATCTTTATTTATTTATTTATTTTTTTTTTTAACTGTACAACTTTCTTCACAGAGGCAAAGGATGCTTCTATGTTTATTCCTCATATGTAAAATAATCTCCATGTTTAATAAATTCAATAATTTGAATACATCGATTCTTATGATAATCACAAAATCAATTCAATTTCATAACTATTTGCATGTAAAAATTGGATTCATCTTTCACATTTTCACATTTTAGCCTTTATTATTATAAAAACTTTTTTTTTTTTTTTTAAGTGTTTCGTCGATTCAGCTTTCGAATCCAGAGGTTCGAAACGGGTAAAGAGGAATCGCTAAACACATGAATGAAGATTTCGACACGACTGATCGATCTCACTTTGCCATTTCAGCCGGCTGATCTGGTAAAATGGAAGCAAGTGGCCGCCAGATTCAGCGAATTAATTACCGAGGCCCCTGAACAACTGCAGCTGAATGAAAATCGATTGTACGAAATAGAATCAACGAGGCTATCCATTGGGAACGCGGGCAACGTAAGAAATAGAAACTTTCTCACGACGTAAAAAAGATTAACCGTGCCGGATATTGTTCTTCGAAAAACAATTTTTCTTCATTCGCCACTCGTATTTGTTCGCGATGAAAAATTGAATATTTGAAGAGAGAGAGAAAGATTGAATCTTTATTTTTCTCTTTTTAAAGAAAATTGTAAAATTACAAAGGTGAGAGAAACAAAAGAATATGAAATCTGGAATATCTTTTATGGATTCTTTTTAATGGTGATGTTAATTTTATGAATATCGATATACATATATAGATATATATGCGTAGATTTCATTTAACTTATAAATATAATTTCTGAAGTTTGAATGTGATTAATATATATATTTTTTGGGGAAAATTTAAAATATTTTTCAACATTATTATCCACTTGAATCGATATTCATAAATGTATTTTAAATATATGTATAATAAAAAAATAATTTTGTTTTTGATTTATAACATCATCTTTTAAAAAAATAATAATAATCTTCAATTGATATAATTAAATAGCGTCTATGAATTGATTTATAAGAAAGGATTAAATTCTTTACATTTAAAAAATAATAAATGAATCTGAAGATGAAAAATAAGTGCAAAATAATGTAAAATATGAATTTCCCCTTGTGACCGAGGAACGAAAAAAGAAAAGAAAAGAACAAATACGAGAAGAAAGATCAAACAATCCTCATTCCTTTTTTTCCAAGATAATTTTATTAACAAATTTACATAAACGTTCCTCTTATCGTTTTAGGTTAGGTTGGAGAGATAACTGGGATTCTTGATGTGCCGTTGCATGGTCCACCGGCGAGTAGACTTCATCCAGCAATTTCCAATTCGAATTGAAAGCACCTAATATTAAGCGGCATTAAAAACGTAATTTTTTTCGTACACATGTAACGAAATATTTTAAATTACCTGCATTTCCACTCATATCTTCAATCGCGGAATTTAATCCCCTTTTCTTTACTAACATTATATCTTTATCCAATATTTTTCTTTTTTTTCATCCTATTCCTATTTCCTCTTTCTTCTTATATTCAAAAAACTTTGATCCTTATTTTGATTTTGGGATGAAAATGATTTGTAAAGAAAAAAAATTAAGAACGTATATATGTACGATATATATATATACGATAAACATGCTAGGGATTATCAATTTGTAATAAATTATATTTGAAAATATATAAAAATAAACTAATTTTCTCATTAAACTATAACATTTTTTACTTTCTTATTGAGAACCACTTTATTCAATCTTGTTGAAAAATATATAACCTTTTATAAGTAACAATAAATTCCTATTTTGCTGAAATTATCACTTATAATAATTGACAATCTTCAAATAATTGACTTACATCTTATTTTAAAATCGACCCAAATGATTACTAGACTGGAATTCAGCAGAAGTCACATCCTAAAACCACACAATTTCCTCGTGACACTGTTCAGAACATTGCTTTCTGCATATTCTCCCCTCTCTCCCCCCCCCCGTTCAGAATACAATTTAAGTTCATTTAACATGGGCGTCGTTACATCTCGAATTTCTTGTCGTGCATCTCTACAATCTCTTTATCAAGGATCTTAGCTTAGATCTACATTTTCGTTCCATAGAACGTCGTTAAGAGAATACCAGATGTCGTTATATGTCCTTTTCTAAGATATTCGTATGGTTGCCTATAAATGATCCACTTTTGGGTTTAACTTGCGTGATGCTTTTCTCGAATATCGAGAAGCAATAGGAAATGAGGCAATGGTATGTATGAAACGAGTTTTGATGAAAATCGTCATGTCGTGATTAAATTAAATACTATTGTTCGAGATTCTGGATGATTGTATAGTGATTTTCATGATATAATATAATCTTTATAAATATAAGTGTTCCATAACCTTTTCTTAGGTTAAGATTTTATAATGTTCAAGTAACTTGAGAGAAAAGAGTTATATTGAAAATATAAAATATTTCTACGAATTATTTCTCAAAAAAAAAATTTTTTTTTTACAATGATGTCATATTATAATTTTCTAGAAGATGTTTTCTATGAGTATAATTGAAAATAAAATTCTCGAGAGTTATTTTTGATTATTATTTTAATTATAAAAATTAAATTAAATATTAGATAAAAGTGAAATAAAATTGACACAATTTCTCCTGCCTTTAGCCTCACGTATTCCTTGTGTATTCAGTCGTATTGTGCGTCCAGTAATGGTCCTTGTACAATTTAATTTTCTTTCTGGCGCGCTTCTCTTTTTCCAACGTTGTTTTATCAAACAAACATCAACACAACATAACTTCTTATAAAGAAGTTTCTTTGTTCTAGAAAAAACGCAATATTCTTCTTTCCTTCTTTATATTCTTTAGCGAATTTCTAATTCAATTTATGAATGTATAAAACAAGAATTTTTAATACAATTTCTTTTCTTTTTTTTTATAAATGATTTGAGAAAAATGAAAAAGTTAATTGAAGTTAAGAATTAATTATTCGTAATCAATTAATTTGATAGATTTTCTATTTAAATGAAAATGTGAAGATAAAAAAATATGTATTTTATTTATTGAATTTTTTTCTAAATTTACATGTTAAATTCACCAGAGATATTATAGAAGAAAATAATAAAAAATCATTAATTTTCAAGATATAAAACTTAAATTAAGAAATATATCTCTCATAATTATATAAATAAAAATATAAATTATTATATTACATTAATAAATTAATAAAATTAATTAACTTATAAAATTAATGAAATATTAATAAAATTACACACTTGGAAATTCATATTTAAATATTTAATATTTTAAAATATTTGTTTGAAATATATTTATATATTTATATATATTTGTAGATAACTACTTATGCAATTATCGATATGATAGTCAATAATGTTAGACTTTATCTACTGAATATACTTATCAAGTGAGAGAAAATCAAATTAATTATGATTTAACCATGTACTATTAAGCGTATTCGATTTTATGCATATTTTAAAATCGTATACAAATTTCACATTTAAAATATATTTTATTATTATTATCGACGGATGGAAAATTAATTGTTATCATGCCAGTATATTATCTACAAATGATAAATTGCAAATTTTTAAGAATAATTATTTTTTAAATAAATGTATAAAAAATAACTTGAAAATATAGAATAAATAAACTTTAAAAATATAAAAAATAAATTTTTGATCATATATTTATATAATATTAATTCCAAATTAATACTTAACAATTATAACTATTGTTTTGTAAAAATATTATTCTATAAAATTTTGACAAATTATTCCATTTTATAGAATTTCAAAATATAATATAAATATGAAATGAAAATCATTTTTGACAATGAAGATAACATAATTATCATGATTATATTTTTCGATTGTAAAAACTGTTGACGTTAAAAATAAAAATCTAATCCAAAAATGTTAAATTTTTACTGACCATTATAAATTTATTCGTGGTTATTATAACTATTTTTTTTTAATCGTAGTTAGAATATTTTAATATGGTTATAAAGTGTAAAATAATATCACAAAATTTAATTTTAATTTATAAAAATATATATTAATTGTTATATTTATTATAATAACAAATTGTTATATATATATAAATTAATAAAAATTCAAAAAATGTTAAATTACTAATCATTATATTCGAAAAATTAGTTTTGAAAGAATCAATACAAATATGTTCGTTGAATTTCATAACGATCTTCTATAAATACTACGTAGGTCGCGGAAGATAATTCATTTGCAAACGAACTCGCTTGACGAATAGATCGAATCTATAATACTTTAATTAAATTTTAGACTTGGAATAATTTTTAAATATTTATAATATCCATTTTAAATTAATATACATTTATCTATCAATATTACAACATTGTTTATTCGTTTCACTTTTTTAATTATTATTTATTTATTGTTTCAATTACTTTTTCATTTATTTTTATTTATTTATTTATTTTTATTATTTATTTTTATTTATTTATTATGATTTCTTCATTTTTTATTCATTTCATTATTTTATATATTTATTTATTTTTATACTCTTGGATTAATTTATCTCTCAATTTTTATTTTTATTCATTTTTTTAAGCGCATATATGCAATATTCAAAACTATCTAATCTAATTTAGGATTTCCAAGATTCTTCTTATATACGAAATTATTCGTTATTAAATTCAAATGCCATCATAATAATTTCATGAATAATAGATTGTGGGATTTTTTACGAAATATACTTTCTACACTCACCTACCATCCGCCCTCATATTATCGTGGAAATCGTATCAAATACTACTTTACTCTTTTCACAATTTGATGGTAGTTTCAGAACGATATTTTTATATTTCTATATTTTGACGAATTGCATGGATTGATAATTTACCCATGGTGGATAACCGATTGACGGTCGATACGACAGTTATCTTTTCAAAACTATCGGAAGCTGACCGCATTGTCGTAGGAATTGAATTTTCGCGAGATCAACAAGTGTCATTTCCACGAAATATGGGTTTTGCCGATAGTTTCGAGATGTCAGTCGGGTTGCCTGTGGCGCAGGCGCGGCCTTCCTCGGGATTGGTCTAAGGACGGGCGGGGGTCCACGAAATGGTCGATATTTTAGCTATAGCGGGCTACAGTGGCGCGAGGCTTTACCGAGGCCAGTCCAGTCTCCTTAAAATCGCCGTGAAACCATCCCTGTTGTGCTGCCGTGTGTTACGTCGCCGTGGTGTCGGGAAATTCGGTACTCGCGTATCAGCGTTGGAGTCATTTTTGTCGTCGAGGCCAGGTGCAGGGGCCCAGAGTGCAGCGCGCGTTGTGCATTCCTACTATTCAGCGATCGACCGTGAAAGGATCAACGCTTTTAGGAGGTACACATGTCGGGAATGACTCGTCGGACGAGAAAGCTTCGTTCAGGCTTGGTCACATCTCTCACGGAATACATTCAGAGTCCTGCGATTTCGAGGCTGAAACACATTTCTGTCCGACCAGCCAGTTCGTCGATAGAACGCTTATTGATTTCTTTCTGTCTCCCTCTGTCTTTCTCCCACTCTCACGGTTTTCCTCTCACTCATGCTAGAAACTGTGGCCGTCGAATCAACTTTTCATGCACTCTGCGCTTACACGAGCCTCGACTGCTGCTTGTTCCCGCTTATGCATCACTTCTCATCCTCGTGATTAACGGTGATTAAAGGCCGTCTTGACAATCTAATCGGGAAAATCTTGAATTCACGGTGTCTCAAAAAATCTAAGTGTGAATTCCAGGATTGCTACGCAGGATCCAGGATTACGAATTCAATCTTTCGATCCTTCTTCGAGTGTTTCGTCATTTTTTGTACACAGTTTCTGTCGATGACGGTCCAAACTGTGTGACCTTCCCACCACTCTCTTACACCTCCCTCTTTCTCTCACCTCCCTTGAAAGGGGCGATAGACATGTCAGCTGTGATCACGTCGATGTTTAAGAACACGTATGATGCTCGTGCTGCTCGTGGAGAAGAAATTTATTGACGAATCGAGGAAACGTGAAGACAGGCGACCGAGTTGGTGACCGAATTTATCGACCAAGCAGGCATCGCCGATATCGAGGAATTCGAGCGTATCGATCTGGACGCGTTTTTGGAATCCAAATTCGAGCGTCACGGCATACATATACGGAGGCTCCATCTTCCGTTCTACGTTCATTCTGCTGAAATCGAAACTATGTAACGGGCGGCATGGTTGGTCAGGGGTTGGGAATCGATCTTTCAAAAATATTTGTTCTATTGTTACATATAGTCATTCCATATAAGATACGTAACTTAAAGAGTTCTTCACAACTCTTTATGATATTTCCTTCTTTATTCTTCTTTAATGAAAAAGATTTAGAAAGAGGAAAATTTATTGTAAATGTAGAAAACTTATGATCAAGTAATGGATGCCAAAGGGATGTTGTGTCATTGTTTGAGAATCATTGTTTTGATACTATTTATATAGTAGATTGCTTTTTTTTGTTTGTTTGTTGATATATCTTGGAGGAAAGATTGAAAAAAATTAATCATACGCATTAAGAAAGTTTTTTCAAAATTCAATTAATCATCTTTCAATAATAATTTGTCAAATTGTTATGCTTTTGATCAAAACTTCTCATTGTTTATGTGATGAATATTAAACAAACGAGTTATTTATCTTTTTGATAATTACACTGGAAATATTACATAATATTATCAACATAGATTTTTCTTATTAAAAGTACTTTACTGATAATTTAAAGATTAAAATATACATAAAATATAATTTAACAATAAACTTTATACAGAATTATATATTTAACAGAAGAGTACACGTTCACAAAGTTCACAAATCTTTAATTATGGTTCTGATAACAATTAATCAAGAAAGCTTGTGGGATAGAGACTGTTTAATTTTAATATTTTAATGGAAGAATTGAATGTATTCGAGGTTGAGAGACTCTTAGAGCACAAAGACCTGTGTGTCAGTTGTTGAAGAGTATTAACTATAGAAAAGATACGAGTGCTTGAAACATCATCCAAAGTTTCGTTTGAATAACAATTTATTGTCGTCTAGTTGTTTTTTAGTGCTTGCCCTCAACAATGGCCGAAGTTAACAGTTTTAAGGAATCCTTTATTCTTTAACTTTTATCTTTTTTCTTTTTTCCAATAGAATTTAGAAATATTAAGTTTTATTAACGTGTATATATCTAGTAAAACAAATCAACAATGGCTGTATTTGTAATATTATTTGTAACATAATGACAGAAGACCTTCCAAACGAGATGTTAATTTTTAATTAAATTCTTGCTTGTTAAAAGTTTGATTGAGACATTTGATTTACTACATGCCACAATGCAAAGCAAGAAGTTTAGATTAAAAAATGAAAATGTACAATTATAAGAATCTTTTTTTCAAATTTATCTTCACCCTTCTTGAAATTATTCAATCGATATTCCTTTATACAAGACATACGAATTTTTCTTTTTCGAACGTAGTTGACGTTCAAAATATGCTTTTTAGAAAACTTATTTTTATAAAATTTTCCACGCAGAATAACACAATCTCGAGTTAAACAATAAACTTATCATCCGAAAATCAATGTTATTAGCTATAAAATGCCAGGATCATGAAAACAGGGTTCTATCGATTTCATCTTTACGCGAATTTTAATCTTCGTTCCTCCTCGTCGTGTTACACATGTTAGAGGCACTCGTGCAACGCGTTATCGCATCCTTCTGGATGCATTCGTGCGCAGCACGTCAGTGTTTAACGTAGGCGATACGATTATCGCGAACCTTGTTCCACTTTCTTCTCGAGAGAAGAATTGGGCGCGTGTCTTTGATGCCTGCGTAAAATTTTTCGATCAGAATTCCGATATCAAACTTTCCAATTTTCTTCATTTTCGAAAGTATATCGATTTTCCTCCGTAAATTTTTCTATCAGAATTCCGATATTAATCGGAATCAAACTTTCCAATTTTCTTCATTTTCGAAAGTCACGCGTATACAATTTTTATCACATCACGAATTTATCATTTACGTTTCTTTATCGATTAAAATGCGAAAATATCGATAGCCTAATCGTTTAATTCTCCTCTTCATCAACGTCCACGCTTCTTTCTCTTTTGCTTAGAAAAAAGGGGTTCCCCGATGAAAGAGATAAATCATCATTTGTCCACTCTTTTCGGCTCGGGAAGAAGCGCTGATCCTTGACCTTCTTCATCCATCCATCTTATCCTACGATAAAATTTACATTTTCAATACCATGGTATAAATTGAATTGCAAAATCGATAAGCGACAGAATCTTGTTTGTATATAACCCGCTTCGAATACATGTCTCCTTATTGATCTCGGTCAAATCGAATTTGAACGGATCGTACTGGATATCGATACATTCCTTATGGAATTGAAAATCTAATCCTCTCTTTTGATTTCTCAAAATTAATCGTGGACACAAATCGCAAAATTTTCCCTAACAAACAATTATTTTCAAAAGCAAAAGCTTGCAACGAAACACCATGGACATGAATTTTTTCCACTCTTTGAACATCCAGAACAATATCTGGCGGTTAGTTATCTGGCCAATATCGAGAAAGAGACAGAGAGGGAGAGAGAGAGAGAGAGAGAGAGAGAGAGAGAGAGAGAGAGAGAGAGAGAGAGAGAGAGAGAGAGAGAGAGAGAGAGAGAG